TATCTTCATCTTCTTATCTTCCTTATCCTTATCTTTACCTTCCTTATCCTTATCTTCCTTATCCTTATCTTTATCTTTTTATCTTCTTTATCTTTATCTTTTTATCTTCCTTATCCTTATCTTTATCTTCTTATCTTTAACTTCTTAGCCTCCTTATCCTTAACTTCACAAGTTAGGCTCAGAATCGAGCTCGAATAGCTCGGAGCAGAGCTCGAATGGCTTTAGAATTCAATGATTCACTCTTATGATTCAATGATTCAATCTGATGATTCAATGATTCAATCTTACGATTCAATGATTCAATCTTACGATTCAATGATTTAATCTTAGGATTCAATGATTCAATTTTATGATTCAAAGATTCACTCTTAGGAATCAATGATTCACTCATATGATTCCATGATTCAATCTTACGATTCAATGATTCACTCTTAGCATTCAATGATTCAATCTTACGATTCAATGATTCAATCTTAGGATTCAATGAGTCACTCTTAGGATTCAATGATTCAATCGTATACTCCCTAGGCTCTGCGCCAGCTCCTTAAGGCTCGGAGCTTCTGTGAAGCCTCTGTGAAGCATCTGTAAAGCTTCTGTGAAGCTTCTGTAAAGCTTCTGTAAAGCTTCTGTGAAGCTTCTGTGAAGCATCTGTAAACCTGAGTGAATCATTGAATTCTAAAGCCATTCGAGCTCTGAGGGTCGATGTGAAGTCGATGAGGGGTCGATGTGGGGTCGATGTGGGGTCGATGTGGGGTCAATGTGGGTTCGATGTGGGGTCGATGTGGTGTCGATGTGAGGTCGATGTAGGGTAGATGTAGGGTTGATGTACGGCTGGGCGTATAGAAACCATGGCGAATTAACAATTAAGCCAAACGAAAAAAACATTTAAATTGTAGACCACATTAACTTTGTAAACGTCTCGAAGAAATAAATGTATTTTAAGATTGAATTCTTGTGTAAACTTTTGGCTGCAAAGCGCTCCTGCATTGTCTAAATTGCTTTCTCTCTTCCAATATAAACCTCGTTATTGTTGTGTTTCCAACCCGCACGGATACCCGCGACGCCCGCGAAATGAATATCCTAATCTACCCGTATGTATCCACACAGTAGAAAATGCAAATCTCCGATAAAAGTTAATCCTTTAATTAGTTTCACTCTAAAAACACATACCAACCGGTGTGCTTTAATATAACTTAAATTTATTAACCTTATCCGAGTTTTAGTACTTTAAAAACCTGGCACTAAAATATAGAAATCGCTTGACAATAATATGTCATCTCTAACTTCCATGTGTTTATATAACTCTAGACAGCAACATATTTTTTCTGTAATAACTCTCTGTTTGTTAGTATTTTTTTCCTGTCTCAAGCTTGCTGGGTGAAATAAAAATTTTATCCACATGGGGTGGGCGAGTTAATCACTTTTTAATGACTCTGTAATATGCAAATATCGACCATAACAACGGCGTTGACAACGATTTTTACTTGGGCTTAGCAACTGCTTAGTTCAGTTTAAAATTTTTAGCGAAGTAAACAGAAATATAAACTGTAGTCTGTAGAGCAGCCAAGTAAACAGAAATATAAACTGTAGCCTGTAGTCGCATAGAGCAACGAAGTAGCCAGAAATATAAACTGTAAATAAACAAAGGCATCGCAATAGCTGTAAATATAAACTGTAGATAAACAAACGGCAACGAAGTAGGCAGAATATAAACTGTAGAGCAATGAAGTAATCCCAAATATAAACTGTGCTCTGTAGATAAACAAACGGCATCACAGTAGCTAAAATTAAACTAAAAAAAGCTGTAGGTAAACAAACGGCAGCGAAGTAGCCAGAAATAAGCTAAAAACTATAGGTAAATAAACGGCCGCGGTTTAAAATATCAAGTATAAAGCTCGAACAAATTAACGTGAATCTGAATAAATTAAAATACTTAAGAAATGATGACGTCATGGGCGGTGCTAGGTGCGCCGCCCGCACCGCCCGTCGCAGAACCCCCACTCTCTATACTACTTACAACAAATTTTGAATCTCATCAAGTACAAAAATATTTAACGTGTAACTAAAATATGCTCATGAAATCGAAATTAATAGCTAAATTTTCAAACTAGACCCTTCTCGAAGCGGTTTACATGAAGGAAGTTCACATTTGGGCCTTTGATTCTTGGCAAAAATTTGACCACAACACGTGCGAAGCAACTGGGTCTCAAAGACTCAGCTAAAACATTGTGAGCCCCCTATTTTCCTGACGATATGTTTGATACCTACCAACGCCGAAAAGTTTTTTCTTTTCATTTAGCTATATTTGAAATTGAGGCCACGGGATATTTTTGAGAAAATAAAGTTCAAAGTCAAGCTACTTTTACATATTTTCAAAATTTGTCATATTTCGCGAGCTTGTATTTTGAACTTAGACAGCTGAAGTCACCTGAAGAAACGTAGGATAGAAAATTTGAGGCATATAAAGTTAATTTCAACTTACATTTCATTCTCAAATCACGTCGGTTTTAAACAAGCCACAGTCCTACCTATACGGTATTTACTCCCATGTTCACGTCGCCATATTCACTTCTTCCAATCACTCGATTACAAAAAAAATCATCCGAAAACAAGGAATTCCTGATCGATTTTTGAAAGAATAACCGTTAATTTGTAAAGCGTTGAATGGAAAATAAAAAATCGTCAGCTAAACCAGCTTCTTGCTAGCTTTCTGCTTTGTTTTGAAATGTAAATGCAATGAGCTTTGTTTCTGGCCGCCAATTTTTTGTCAGCGACGATAAATTTCCCACCTGTTGGCACGTGGTAGAAGTGGTACTTTGGGTGGTGAATGGAAAGTCAAAAGGACTTGATAAGTTGTTGAAGTCGCAAGTAAATAATCTTCGGTGATCGTACTAAAGGGTAGCGAATGGTGGTGTCTTCGATGACAACCAGCGCTCTGATGAATGCGAAGTTCAATGTATGGTAACTCAACCGTGATTTGAAGTTGAGCTTGACCGCCGTCAAAGATAACTACGAAAGGCTGGATAACTGTACACCTATTCGCTGGGAAAGAAATGCGGAAGTTCCATGAAATTTTCTCTTCTAACTGGCTCGTATGTATTATCAGATAATTATAGTTATCGTTGTTCAATTCTTTAAACAGTTAAGTAATAAAATTTTCTTAAAATAAGCATTGCTTGTGTGCCGGCGCTCACGTCGACGAATTGAGGAAAAATCCGTCACAATATCCCTTATCTTTCAGATATCCTATGGCAAATGCGCTTCCGGCTACGGCAAGAGCCAATCGGTGCACCGAGATTTTTTCCAGCAACCTTTTTAGCAAGGTAGGATACTCCGACGCCCCGGTCGTCAGTAGTGTGGCATCGTACAGTTCGTTGATCACTTCCTTCTTTGTGTCGGTCATTGTGTTTCATTATATTCTTTATTTTATTTTTCTACTAGCACTAGTCCCAGTCAAATAGATCTGGGTCACCCTACGGTTTTGATGCGGGTTGCGGTTTTTCTGTGGATTTGCTTCCTCCATCTTTTCGTTCTTTTCCCGACGATTACACCACATGATGTAGAGGGATCCAAGTCCCACAGTAATACCCACCACCATACCAACTCTCTCCAGGGTAATCGCTGTATCTCCACCTGACCCTTCACATTTATTCTCTACATCCAAAACGTTTTGTTCTTCCTTAATTGCTTCAAGTTCGGCGCGCTTTCTGGCTTTTGCCTCCTGACTGATCTTAGCAAGCCTGCGTCCTGCCTCCACTTTTTTCGGATCCTTGACGTGAGCTTTCACCGGATTTGTGATCGGCACTGTGGTCGTACTCGGCTTCTCTTCTGCCATGTTTTATTTTACTTGGTAAAATTTAAATATACACATCCTAGTATGTTCGATTCTCATTTCCACACTTCGCTTACACCCACGCCAGGTAGGGACCTGGCAAGGTGGTTAAGAAAGCGAAAATTCCGGAATTTTTTATGAAAATGGAAGGAGATCAAACTTTTCTTTAAAACAGTGTACGCTGTAGGGGAGGAATACTCTTAATCTTGCATGAAAGCGTCTAAAAATAATTTTAAGTATGGTCCAAGTAAAACCTAAGTGATCTTAATTTTGCTTAAAAGTATCTCAAAATAGTTTTAAGTGAACTTAATTTTGCTTGAAAGCGTCTCAAAATAATTTTAAGGATACTTAATTTTGCTCAAGGGTGTCTCAAAATAATTTTAGGTAGGTGTCAAGTAGATTTGAGTTTGTAATGACCATACGACAGGGTATGTATTCCGTCCTCACAAATCACACGTTTGTCATAGTCTGATGTTACATAGTCTGTACATAGTCTGATGGTAACATAGACAGTACATAGTCTGATGGTAACTCCGAAGTCCGTTCCTTTCCACCATGTGCCTTTTTCCCGGATCCTTCATGCAGTTGACGTAGTCGTCGAAGGCGATTCCACCCTTTACGACATATCCTCGGACACCCTTCGCCTTCTTTTCCTCTGACATTGGATGGTCCTCCTTGTAGTTGCTGTGATCGAAGTACTTGAGATGATCACCTCTTTTAAGGACGTCCGCATCCACGTCGTCCGTCTCAATGCCTACGAACAAACTGTCTGTGTCCGTCATAATCAGCCTGACTCTATCACCCCATGTGGGCTTTGCGTAGTTGTACCAAAAGTCATACATCAGAATTTTGGACAAATCCAAAATGGCAGCTCCCAAATAATTGGGTTTGTCCAGCATTAGTTCCAACCGAATTATTCCAATCGAATCTGAACTTTCACCGGCTTCTTCACGGATTCGATCAGTTTCAAAACTTCCTCCTTCGACAGGGAGAGGACCTGCTTATGGGTAATTAGCGGAGCGGTCACGGAAATCTTGTACTCACTCACCGTTCTGCCGTGTGCGTGCTTGATGTCTGTAATGACTGGGTTAAAACTCAATTAACTTCGTTTGTCCCAAATCTTACTCAGCTTGTCCTCCAGTTTCAGCTGAGGCTGGCCAAGCTTCTTCTTGCCTTTTTCACTTACCCTCTCCGATCCTACGGTTCTGCTCTGCGAGTCTTTCCCGTGCCTTCTCGTTCCTCCTCAACCTCTGCGATTCTTTCTTCCACTTCTGAGCTTCGGTCTTCCAGCCCAAAAAAGCTTCCGCCGTCTATTCTCCTCCTTCGCATTTCGCTTTCCCATGCCTTGGCAATCTCGAAACCAGAGCCCGCAATCCTCTGTGGAGGCTTGCTGAGGCTCTGGGAAACACCAGTGAAAGTCGGGCTCCGATTGGTTGTTTTTCAACATCCTCGTCCCCAGGCCCAAGCGGCCCTCAAAGTTTTTCAAGTGTTAATTATTATTCAAACTTTGAGCCGTATTTAGTTATTCGGATTTCAAACATCGTTTAAAATTGATATAAAGTTTATTTCTCTTTGTGTATTATGTTTAAACATATCAATGAAACACATAGCATAACATTAATAAACTTATTAAGCTTTCCTAGCTTTTCATATGAAATCAATTTGATTGATTGATTGATTGATTGATTGACTATTCTATTTCTGATATTGATATGCTATAAATATTAAACAACATTAGAATAACAACAGTGCAGCATTACCATATTAGGTCATGATAAGCCGTTGCTTGTAATATTTAAAATAACACAACAATCCATGATTTATCGTAATTAAACAAGTTAAAATAAATCACTACCAGTATCTTACAACAATTCAAAACCATGCCAAGTGTTCTTTGAAGGATTAAAGTCGTAATAAGCTTAAACAACGGCATAATTCATGTTTGACAGCAGTAATGTCTATTTATAAATGTCGAGCGGAGTCTGGATCCAAATGTACTGATTTTCGTGCAAAATTCGCAGGTGTTTCCCAGAGCCTCAGCAAGCCTCCACAGAGGATTGCGGGCTCTGGTTTCGAGATTGATGCCTTTGCCTCCCTTATCGCCTTCCATAATTAAAGTGAAAAACAGCTGATGACTGTGACGTGGACGATTATTCTTAAATTTTTTTGAGTTATTTGCTGGAATACTCTGTGGCAAGTATTGTAATCGAAATGCAAGAACTACGGCTTTGCTGAACGGGTGATTTGGAGAAATTGAAGCTTTTTGTAAGCAAGAATGTTGATTTTGTCGGCGTATGGACTTCACCAGGCAATGATAAAAAAAAATACAGTGATGGTTATAGCTCAATATCCTGGCGCAAATCCAAGAAAGTGTTGGAAATAGAAGGCAGAGACAGGAACCTGATAACAGCTAAGTTGTGTACAATGTTATGTAATGATTTCGATCCTATACAGTCAAGCAAAAGCGACAATTATTGCGGATTCCCTTCCACAAGCAATGAAATGCTTGTTGAATTGGAGGGCGTTAAACTCGATGTAACAATTACTGAGAAAGATATTCGTGATAACAAACATAGCATTAAAAACGTGGAAGATTGCCTTGATAAAGTAGTTGGTAAATTAAACATTATTAACCAACAGTTCGATGTATTTAGGGCAGAGTTTCAGTTGTTGAAAAACCAACATACGATTTAATATTCGCCTAAAGCTGTCGAATATTCAAATTTGGACAACCAAAACGCCTCCGGATTGCAAAACCGTCATGAGGAAAACAATAACATAATAGGATCGAATCTAAATGATGACATTGTAATGAGTCGTAATGATGCATTACAATCTCTGGCAAATTTGCGGTCTGAGTGCCTTTCCAATGTTTGTTATGATACTCAATTAAAGCGTCTTGAAAGGGAACTGCATGATGAACAAGATAAAACCAAGCAACTTGAATCTGAGCGAACGGTTGCCGAAACAAAAATCTTATAACTCGAACAGGCACTAAACCTACACGAGTTAGAACAAAAGAGTAAAGAAACTGACAATGGGCTTTGTCATGATCATTCCTGCATTATTATGGAGACACTCAGCACTAATTGCATTAGAAATCGACACGCGCCTCCGACTCAAGAGAATACCTGTACTAATAAATATATCACATCTCAAGAATTACCACCTAACCCTCGAATACCACCAAAACAAGTTGATAAGCAGGAGCCTCAAAAACATGCTGGTCAAGTAAGTCAATTCCCAAAATATACGGAAATTTCGGACAAGAACAGCAACGACAATGCAAAACGACACAAACCATCACAACATGAATTAACTAACTGTTAT